AATGAGCCTTTTCACTGTGTAATTCAAAGCGTGCAGAACACGCAGGGCCACAAACCAAGAATTTACGGTTTGGCAGGTGACCTTCATGGCCAAGTGAGGCTGGAATTCTTGGAGTCGGCTTTCCGAAAAAAATTCCCGTCCTCAAGGGGTTAACTCAAAATTCAGACACCTCAAACTTTTCATCCGTTCCAACGAGTTTTGACTTTACAAGAGTTTACTGCACACCGTAGACTGAACAGTAAACGTACAGGTACCGTAGGCACAATTTTACGCAACGTGATTATCCAATGCAAAGCAACTATCAGACGAGACAAGTTGTCAAGTGTTCCCTCACAATACGCCTCAATGGTACACGTACATATATGTAAGTTCATAAGAGGAAGTAAGTATTCTCCTGGGACTGTCATTATTCTGTCCATCAGAGCAACAACAAATGAAGCTAGCAAATGTGACCGGACGGTACATACATGTATCAAACGATCGCCAAGTACCCAGGAGGGATGCCCGCCAAAAAAAACAAGGAAACCTGAATCTAGACGGGGAGTATGCAAAAACACCATTGGACAATTGCACATGGAAACTGTCCTGAAGGGAAGAAGGAGTTTTTAGTTCCTTTTAGACAAACAACTCGCAAGTGGACGCTGGAGGAAACCCACAGGGAAACACCGGTGTTAAATGTGCAGAGGGGAGGTCATGGACACTGGATGAACAAAACGTGGTAAACTCGGGCACACTGAACATGTGTCTCTTTTTGATTATCTCAAAAACGTTATAAATCGCCAACACAAAGTAAATCAATTTCGTGCGCGCACAATGTACCGGCATTAGTCTAAACACTGATGTTGGGGGCATTCAAAATTTCTTGTTTCAATTCAATTTTCCAAAATAAAGTTGATGGAAGCCGAAAGGAAAAAATCACCATGCAATTAGGAAGAAGGAACACATTTATTTGGACTGTTAGCAAAACGAACACACCAGATTACATCAATCAAGCGTCAGACCTGGGCAAAAAATGGGTTCCACATAAGCATTATAGAAATCTGTGAACGTTTACGGAACACTTCATTTGAACGAGTAAATGTCACGTGTACAAACACGCCACTGACTTACCAGGCATACATGTACAAAAACAACAGCAACCTTTGTGGTATTTATACATGTACAAATACGTGTACATGCATGTCCACAGCCAGGGAATGGGTTAAGCATGCATTTTGACCCATCAGATGCATTTGCTAACGTACCGGATGTACATTTATACCATATGGTGTTTACTGGTATAGTCCTTGAGCATGAGATCGTTGAGTTCTTCCATATGCGTACTGTACCAACATTCCTGATAAAACTGCGGTCTGTTAATTCAAAACATGTACCGATAACGATTCGACAATGAGAGTGCAGGTCTATGTACATACATAAGGTGCCAGTCCATTACCGTAAGTACATGCACCAGAAGAAACTTTTTGAAAATTTGTTTAAATTTCTAATGTATATGGACATGTCCGAGTACTGTATTACACTGTAGACAGGGACACCACCCTTGACACACCAGTACATTCTTGAAACTGCCAATATCTATTGAATGTATATGTAGGTTAACCGAGTGTTTATATTCCAAAGGGGTTCGATTAATCTAATCCTTAGAGTGCATACCTAATAAGCCATTTGCGAGTTAGATTTGAATAAAATCTGGTACACTGAGTTATCTGATTGCACATTAGCATAACAATTTGAATTCCCCAGACTAAAGACACTGTTGCTATACCTCATGATTCAGGGCAAGCTTTCGCATAGCAACCACCATCTCTGGAATGGACTGGTTCCTTTGTGCCGTTCTTATCCATTGAGAATAGTGTATTGTTGCAAGGCGTCTCTTATGTAACTAAGGAAAAGCTTGCCCCGAATCAAGAGGTATAGCAACAGTGGCTTTAGTATGGAGAATTCCAATTGTTATGTTTACCTGAATTTAAAGAACTCAGTGTACCAGATTTTATTCAAATCTAACTCGCAAAAGGCTTATTACATGTTCTGGTACATTGTACATATTGTACACAAGCTGAACAAACTCATTTCCATAAGTACCTTCCTGCGGTAACAATCATCTTCTGAACTGCAATAAACACCAACCGGTAGAGCGGTATTGCATTAACGTTATGACATTAGCCTGTTGGTAACTTTTTGTTGACGACAAACAGAATTTATCCCCGGGGTCTTTGCTGTGAGGGGTAAAAGTCAAATTACTGCCACGCCGAATGAAATTGCTCAGTGAGTTATGGGGGGCAACAAGGCAATACGGTAGCAGATCTGAACAATTTCAAGAAATGGCAGCAATATGCATACATAGAGGAACCATTTCCTCCAGTAATCCACGCAATTATGGCCTCTGGGACCAGAATGGCAAACCTGTACAGTATTGATGGCTAAGTTACCACTCTCACAAGGCCTTTATTATTATTGGAGAGCTGTACAGGTAAGTCATGGGCTCAAGACGTGTTAATTTTACCCATTAAAGTCCAGGTACAGTACATGTACTATACATGATGGATCAAAGAGACAGCAAAAGATTTTACAGTGAAAAAGAGATATATGTAGATGTACAAACTGATACGGCACACATACTGGTACAGTATTTACTTACAAGGTACATGTACTAAAAAACCCCTTCAGGCAGTGTGTCAGGATGCCACTTTCACAAGCTTGAATCAGTTCAAATAATTACCGTGAACTGAAAATAAGCAATATTTCCAAGTTTTAGTGTCCTGCCTATTGTCCATTTTGACGGGTACACTGTACCACGTACCAGTACATGTATGTACATTGTACACGTACACTGTACACATAAATGCACACCTGTGCATGTAAGCATATTAAAATTTTCACCTTTCCGTCGATTTATGTATTGTACAAACATACACGTAATATGAGCAGGCATGATCAAAAAGCCAATGAAGTACGTACAATGCAGAAACTGACATTGAAAATTTTTATGAACACAAGCGCATAAATTTATAAACCTGCCATACATGTACATTATAAGCAAAGAGTTTGCTCAGCCTGTACAAATTTCCTCACTCGTCTATGCATCTTCTCAGGGCCGAGGCAGGGAACACCCCGGGTTAAGTGAAGCTGATTCCACCAAGAAAATGTCCAATTTATCGGGCAGATGCATTGAGTGATTAGACTCCCTCCCCGACTGACCTGCAGTGACGTCGTCACCGAGGTTTGCTGCTGTCAGGTATTACCTGGCAAACCGCATACCCTGAGACAATGTTGGCTTGTCGGTCTGTGATGTCGGAATGAGAAGGGATGGGGGGGGAAGGAATGGGAGTGAGGATAGCAAGGAAGAGTTGAAGATTACCGGTACATCGCAACCGGTGAAACCTGAGCGCAGGTTGACAGGCAAAAGCACGCTAACAAATTGTGTGGACTCATATTTAAATTGAGTCAAAAGCACGTACTGAGGCGCAAACCGAAGGAAACTGAAGGAAAATGCAGGAACGCTTACGATATGCTTACACATGTACATGTACATGTACGGTACGTTGTACCCTAGGCCTCTACAAGATAATGATGGACATCGGGAGATACAGGACAGGTAAATCAAGTCATATGCTGGAACTTACATGTACATGTGCCATAATTTTATTTGGCTGGACAGAATAAACAAATCTTGTGAAAACTGCCTGTACACTGCATTATGAGTACTTACAAGTAACAACAAATTCACAATTGATCAGTCAATTTGATGCTACCGGTAACATGACGAAGGCAGTGTGCCCTGCAGGAGACCACTTACAATGTACATGAACTAGTACTTCCAACAGGTTATTTGTAAAGTCTAGAGAAGGGAGACAACTCCAAATGGAGCCATGCACGAAATTGGTCCTAAGTCAGAATTTGAAAAATATCGCACCTGTAAGACCCTACAATACCAGTAACACAAGATGCCGAAGCACTGGTCAGCATCGCAATGTACATGTATGAACGTGCATACATACCACTCATACTACACTATACACGCCCGGAATGCAATTCACTGGAATATGATGATCACCCACAGTGAACTTTCTGGTCAGATCATGGCTAAATGGTATCCCCGCAGCTGCTGCAAGACAACGATGGGACTGACAGGTGGACTTGCTTTGTATCCATTAAAAAAGCACCAATTATTGTAAATCACATGTACATGTACAAAATGTACATGTGCACACACCAAGCATTCTCCTTCCTAAGACAGCCACCTTTGTAAAAAATTAACGCAATCAGGTACGTGCGCATGCAGTATTTAAAAGGTTCTTAACGTGCGCAGCATATTGCTCGATATTTCTTCCATATACGACATGCAAGTACATGTACTACATTGCGCGTCATCAAAACATGACACTGAAAATACCAATACACATGACAATCTGTAGATGGTGATGTACGGTACCAGGAAATTCAAGATGGTGATGGAAATTCAAGATGGTGATGTAAATTCAAGATGGTGATGTAAATTCAAGATGGGGATGTAAATTCAAGATGGTGATGTAAATTCAAGATGGTGATGTAAATTTTGTGATGCAAATTCAAGATGGTGATATAGATTCAAGAGAGTTGTACTACGTACCAGTATACATGAAAATGCGTGCATCAAGTACGCACTTTACAACACACATACATGTACATGTAGGCCCTACACGTAGCACATGTCCATGGAGTACAGATATCAGTATACTGGTAGAGCATGTGAAAATGAAACCTATACAGTACATACATATACATCTAGCAAGACCAATTTCCACTTAGCACAAAAAAGTTTAAAGGGAAATCTGAGCTCAGTTTCTGTGAGGAAAAAGTCCAATGCGAATGCGTTGGGTGTCTTTCAATTGAATCCTTGGTTTTTTTTTAACCTCTGTGCACAGGTTGGCTTATGGACACACTCTCATCATCATGCATCTGGTAACTATTAACAGCTACGTCTTAAGTGATATATCCTGCCCACTGCCAGACATGCATGATGTCACAACAGAAAAATCTGAGGTTACTTCCTGCAACGCACAATAAGATGTGTAGTGTACATGTACAGTAATGTCTATACAGTAATTGGGTCAGTTCATGGAAAGGGGTCACCATTACATTAAGCTTTCAAGTTGATAACCGGTTTCCTTTTTCTCCTTCCTAGACACTGGGACAAAATCTATGAAAATGGGGTCCATGTTCATTACAAATGGGGTCCATGTTCATTACGCATGTACACATCGATAAACCACAGATAAGGATGCAGGAAATTAAGCTTCAGTACTATGTGCACTGAATGTATCAATGTACATACATGTACATGTACACTCTTCAAGGCTTGAAGAGAACTGGTAAACTTCCAGCAATAGCAGCGACCCGGGGAAAAAGGACCGAACTAAATGAAGCTACTGTACATTGTAGCTGAATTAATGTTAATGTCGAAACGGGCAGACATGGTAGAGGGTTGGAATGCTGAAGAAAGACCAAGTTTTCATTCGACCAAGCCCTCCGGTGTGGACAATACTGACCGGGTGCCATTACCAGCAGAAAACTTTCGTATGGCCTCAAAAATCCATCTGCACTTTGATTCAACAGCAGAGGTCAGGGACAGCCAGTGTGCAAAATCTAGACTTGATCAAGGTCTTCATAGTAATGACCAGAGGAGCCATGCACACAGGGTACCATGCCGTACATTGACAAGTAAACTGATAATCCATGTATACTGCATCTGCTATATAATGCATGAAGCACCAGTGCACGGTTCCAGAGGATGCATCAATGTAACTTCTTGAAAAGAGACCAAGGAATGGTGTAAACCAAGGAAACTACTGGTAAATGGCAATGTTATCCACTTAAATAATTACACAAGCTAAACAATACGATTCAAACCTAGCAGTATGCAAGCATATGTGCATGTACGGTACATGTAAGTGTACGGCACTGTCTATCCGGTTTGTAAGTGTGACATCACTTCAGTTTAAATCATGCCCACTGCACATGCACTGCACATAAATTTACCTGCATTGATCGCCGTTTACATGGAACCATGGAACCGGAAGTTAACGCGCAACTTCAGCGATCGTCCAATGGGAACTTGCAAATTGTGGCACGCCCGCCTTTTTGGCGAGGTCACTTACGAACCGGATAGATTTTGATACTTTGTTTTCCAGATTCTTCACTTGTCTCTGTGAGGCAATTCTTCCACAGTTTCCATGGTTACAGTAACAGGGCACATGAACAGAAGCAGCATCATATTCACCTTCCTTAGTGGTTTTTCCCTCCACAAGTTCTCCATTAATTTCTAGGATGATGTCTCCAACTTGCATCTGTAAATGAAAAAAAAAAAACACATGTAAATGAAATTATTTCATGCCTGCACTGACTTTTCCAGACAAAAGATCGACGCCCAACATAGGGCCTGAAACCAAATGACAAATTAATTACTTAGTATGTACCCGGACAGGTACACATGTGTACAATGTACCGTTATACATGTACATGTACCAGGCCTGCACCAGGCCTGTCCTAGCACACCCTGTATGCATGGTCAAAGTAAATCCCCTGCAAGGGTCAAAACACCGCCTGAATACATTATGAAGTGTACATGTATATCTCTACACCACTTCCACAGTCACACACATCTTGGCTTGCATCAGGGGTAAACAGCACAGTTGGTTGATACAATGTAGATCACAGATGTTTGATACAAACATGGATTCGCGATTACAGGTGCAATTGGGCCTTGCGACTATTTCCTTCAACATACTGGTAAATTTACACAGGTTGTTCACCTCTGCAACTGAATCTCATGGTTCAAAAGGTGTCTTGCGAGCACATTTATAATAAAACGTATTATGACAAAAACCGCACGTAACATCTGAAGCATCTGCTCTATTAAAGAAGATTTTCAGCAGGTTGTAGACTTCAGATACATTGTAAGGTACATGTACACAGCAGCTCCCCATCTGTCAAAAGTCGCTATAATGTGAGCAAGAGCGATACATGACCAGCTATTACCGGAGCAGCGTTTTCTCCAAACACTCCACAGGAGATCACGTTGCATCTCCAGATCTGCCCCTGGATGCGTTCCTCTTCAGAGACAGCATCCACAAATACACATATCAGTTATCTGACTGTCTGACATGAGATGTGCGATACTGTCGAAATGTTGGATACAGTTTAGTAGACTCTTAGAACAGAGATCGTATTTCACACAACTTAAGGGGGCCTATGCCCTGCAACCAGCCGGACATGGAGATATGAAACCATCCTCACCAACACGGCATGCGCCTGCGTATTGTGCAGCCGGTGCTTTGCCCCGAAAATGTCAACACAACTCCGGAATTTTTTTTCAATGTTCCAAGGGGAGAATTTGTCTTGGGGATAACGTGCAAGAGCTAAAGAGATTTTCTGCCAGTCGCACGCAATGTTGCATGATTGTGCACATGCATGTGCGCACACAGGATGTTAATGGAAGTGCATGCAACCTCCACATCATGCTACACAAGTTGGTCGTGTGCAGGTGGATTCACCGTCTATAAGAAACAACTCTTTTTGCACAAGTGTGGGTATTCTAATTTCTTCCACGGAGATGGGTTAACAGACTTCAAGACCAAATGCAAAAATGACAAGGCAGTGCTCCTTAAAGTCTGTTGTTGGACTACTTGAATACGGATGTTTGCACTGATCTCGGTGGAGTTCTCCAGTTTCCATCCTGTGCAAACAAACCCGAAGGTGTAAAAACATAGGAATGATACATCATGATGGGAACTAAGGAAAACAAACCTTGGCGAGGTTTATCTACAGCTATCAAATCATGTACCAACGGTATGCACACTGGTAACATAAAGCATATGCCAGTAGGATTCAGGCGTGACATTGATCAATGATAAAAATACATGTGGCTGAAAACAGCTGGAAAAAAGGCGTAAAGAAGCTGAACTGTGAAAATCTCCTTTACTTCTGTACACAGCCAGTGAGGAAAAAAAGCTGAAATCCAAAACAAAAAAAGCTGAAATCAGCTAAAAAGCTGAGAAATCTCACTTCTGAGGATTTATCATTACGTAGAAACTGCAAACTGGTACATGTACTCAAACGCAATAAATTTCCTTCACTATAAATACTTTCATTCATAAACTACAGGTGTATTTAAGGTAAATTTAGAAATGATATAAAAATGTAATGCCTAATGCATGGTACAGTCTAACATCAGCTAAATGTACGGTACCAGTGCATGTACCGGCAATCTGCAAAATTAAGAAAGTACATGTACATGTATAATTTACTTAAATACATGTACATGTACAAGCCTTGTGAAAACGTCTTACAGTCCACAGCTCCAAAATGCAAGTAACTACATGTAATTACAAGTACATGCGGTATTGTCCATGTTTCAGTAAATTGAAAAAAATAAGGCGGCATAATGACAGAAATCACCTGACAAGAAATTTAGCAAGTCAGTTACGTGTCCTGTTGGTCCCTAAAGAGTCAATACAGAATGATTGATCTGAGTGATGGAGGATGTTAATCAGGGTGGCAAAACTGTCTGGGATCCATGCCCTGGGAATTGACAGCCAAACTCCACTGGTGCATTCTGGGTATTTTGATGCCCTTGTGTACAGTACACACGTTCAGTGTACAGTGTACCTGGCAAATAATGCATATGTACAGTACATGTAAAGGCTGCCGGGATTTACCTAATATAGGAATCTGATGGTTGGTGAGAGTGAAAGGTGGAGACGGGGCCACTGCTAAGAATTCTGAAATCTAATAAAGGCTAATGCTATTTGGATTATCGAAACTGTGCTGACGTGCAAAAATGAGCAATTTAAGCCAATGAAAAATTCCATTAGGTGTATTAAACCTGTGTGATGAAATATGCATGTGTAGCGTACAGTGTACATAGGTGTCCTGTTATTGGCAAGCTGCCAATTCCATCATTCGAAAAATTCTGACACAAGTTCTAATATTCAACTGTTTTCCATCCGCTGTGGACAGACTTGGGCTGTCAGCAGTTGTGGCTGAGGTCACTTTGAACTGAAAACAAATGAAACTGTAAGTTAGTTTAATTTTTGACATGTACATGTACCGATTGATGTATGTACAGTATATTTGGAAATTGGGAAGAATTCCTAATTGACTATGGCGGCTACTGTACCAGACCTAAAGCGGTCAGCATCTTGTGGTCTGGGAACCAGACTTCCTTACTCTGTGCCCTCCCCATCACCAAGGAAAGCCCACTGAAGTATGTGCATGCACATGCAGTACATGTTATGTGTATCACACACTGCACATACATGTACAATAGAGGGATTTCACATTAGCACCGTCTGTGCATATCTGCATCGAAACTGAGGCTCTCTGTGTTGATCTTGGTCGCGCGCGCCCGCGGAGTCCACACAGTACATGGAGTATCCAGTTCGTAAGTGTGACGCCACTTCATTTTAAACCACGCCCACTGTACATGATACAGGACCATCGCAGGTACGTTAGTTCGCGGTAAATTGTCGTTATTTTTTCTTTTGATTTTACATGTCGAGTCATCCTGAAAGACTCTTCCACAAAAATTTGCAGCCTGAAAA